GGCCCAACAATCCTTCCTCTGCCCCGCAGCGGCAGCAGCAGCAGCAGGGCGGCGGACCGTACCCCGCCGGCCAGCCGTACACCTCACCTCCGCCGCACAGATATCCAATGGGCATGCAGGGGAGGAGCCAAATGGGCATGGCCACCATGCAGTACCCTCAGCAGCAGGTATGTCAACAAATCCAAGCTTTGCCAGTGTCGTCGTGGACTGCGGAAGAGTTGTTGGGGGGGCCGGGGACTCGGCGGTGCCGTTCCTGATATTGTAGCTGGTGTTGTGAATGATATTGAGTTGGGACGTCTGCTTCTCTTAATGAACCCGTCCGACTAATTGTCCCCTGAAGTCCTTGTTGCTTGTTCAGTCTGAGATACCACAGATCAGAACACATCAGGCAGCACTTCTCCAGTCCTGCCATGCGGTGGCGTCACTCCTGTCTCCTGTGTCCTGGTTCTACAGACACAGTTCTGGTCCTGGCTTTGGTTCTGGAGTCTGAGAACCTTGGTGCACTCTGGTGAACCAGCCCACATTCATACCAGTTCATGTCGTACCAATGTGGGCGTAGGTCACACCACACCAGTCGAGTGGGAGGACGTTACTCTGCGTCACAAGAGAGACAGTAAATAAAAACAGAAACATTAGCTCAGTGATCATTAGGTGTGCCGTGGAAAATTCTAAATAAACTTTTATTTTTTTATTGCATATCATTTTACTTTACCTGTCAAAGTATGAAAGGCAGAACAATGAAATCCTCTTCTGCTAGGTGGCAGCAGATGGCTATGAAACCTAAAAAAAAAGAGACGTTGAAAATCTTTGTGAGTGACTTTCTTCAATTCCTGCCAGTATAACAGCATTTTCTTCAACTAAACACGCTGATATTTTAGTCAATTATGAGGTCATTTAAACTAGGAGATTATTATATGTAAAAATTATACTAATGCCGATACGTCCTAAATATCGTGAAGAAATAACTGCAGGTTTTCTCAGCGTTCTTGACTCCATTTTCACCGTTACGTTCGCCGTCAATCGCTCCTTTTTTTATTTTTATTATTATTATTATTTTCTTAACAGAGAGTAAGACACGCCCACCGATGATGTAACGGTTAGTGGATGATTATTTTACTAAACACGCTGATATTTTAGTCAATTATGAGGTCATTTAAACTAGGAGATTATTATATGTAAAAATTATACTAATGCCGATACGTCCTAAATATCGTGAAGAAATAACTGCAGGTTTTGTCTGCGTTTTTGACTTCATTTTCACCGTTACGTTCGCCGTCAATCGCTCCTTTTTTTATTTTTATTATTATTATTATTTTCTTAACAGAGAGTAAGACACGCCCACCGATGATGTAACGGTTAGTGGATGATTATTTTTTTTGGTCCGAATGTGACGGCCGGTTCCAACGTTGGTTCGGGTTGGTATGATGTGTGGATTTGAAGACTCTCTGGTTTTGTAAAAATTATACTAATGCCGATACGTCCTAAATATCGTGAAGAAATCACGTAGAACGTGAACGGTATATAAAAATTATACTAATGTCGATACGTCCTAAATATCGTGAAGAAATAACTGCAGGTTTTCTCAGCGTTCTTGACTCCATTTTCACCGTTACGTTCGCCGTCAATCGCTCCTTTTTTTATTTTTATTATTATTATTATTTTCTTAACAGAGAGTAAGACACGCCCACCGATGATGTAACGGTTAGTGGATGATTATTTTTTTTGGTCCGAATGTGACGGCCGGTTCCAACGTTGGTTCGGGTTGGTATGATGTGTGGATTTGAAGACTCTCTGGTTTTCCTCCGCCGCTCTCTCCCGTGTCCTTTCTATTTCTGAACCCATTTGACTGTAGTTGTGTGTGTTCTGTGCCGAGGAACGCGGTGTTTAGTAAACACCGTGTGACGTCACAGCGGCTGCTCCGTACAATAGGCCTGTGTTAGAGACAATAAAGCTGCTGTCTGTCTGATTGACTCCTGTGTGAGTCCCATTTGGATCGGTTAGCGTGTCTGTGTGTATTAGTCCGTGACTTTATCTGTTCTTACCTCAGACTGTTTGAGGCTCGTGGCCCACATTTGGGCACCGACTGGACTTCCTTTTCTGGTGTGTGTATGTCATGTAAGTTTCATCCATATAGTTTGTAATGAAACCTCTGTACTGAGGGGCGGGGAACATAATGCTTTCCATAACCCCTCACCCCTAATCTAAATCATAAACCTCAAAACCATCTCTGACTGCGGGGGGACCTGTAGAGATGTCCCCACGAAGACACAGGTCCCCACAATTGTCCCCACCAAAAACCTTGTCCACCATCCCTCAGTCGAACAAACACACAGAGACTTGCGTTCTTGATATTTTGCTGTTTAGCAACAAAGTTGTGCGACACAGAATTAAAAATGACTTGTGTTGTGTTTACAGCGCGCCCTTCTCAGACTGTAAAACAGTTGTCGTCCAGCCTTATGGAAATTAAATTAGCGAGACAGCAGGTCATGTTGACATAGGAGACGTTTGTTCTGCAAGAGTTGGTGACAGAAGTTGAACTGTGAGAATAGTTGTTTACTAACAGAGAAGAGGAGACGTGTCCCCCGCCAGGTTTTTTAACATTCAGAGAAATGAGAAAGATCATAAAAAAAAGTACAAAGTACATTTAGGGAGTGGGATTCTTCTTTATTTCAATTGTTTTATGAGCTGTTTTTAATATTTTACAGCATCCAACCAGGCCACTATGTTATATATTATATTATACTATCTATTGCATATCTTGTTTGTGAAGACTTACGAAGGCTAATCTTTGGAGTTTTTGCTAGGCTAGTTTCTATGCTAATCAATGTTATTACCATCTTTGTCGTACTTCTGAACACTTATGAGATGTGACTTGTTCAGACAACTCTCTGTTAGAGTTGTTGCTAGGTTATTTCAATAGTAACACATGCTACAAATGCCTTCTTAACACTAAACTGAACATTTCTTAGACATAACAGATTCAGGCAGCTACCTAAACATACCTCGTTGCTAACTTTTGGAGTTGATGCTATGCTATTTTCCATGCTAACAGAAGCTATCAAAGACCTTTTAGTACTTCTAAATTTCTAAACTTTTGTCACTTGTAACAGGGTTCTACCTAAATTTAAAAAATAAATAACTTTTTTATATTTTTAAGATAATAATAATATCATTAAGTTGATATAAATTGGGAAACAAATATATATTATATTATAATAAATATACACACATATATTAAATATGACTTTTTTTTTTAGATAATTGTCTTGAGAAGCTACTGTAAACACACACTTCATTACCCAGACTGCAGGTCTGCACCTCCTCTGACGCACATTGATGATGTCACACTCCTTCACAGTAAGCATATTTGAAGCCCGGCCTGGGATTTGGACCGTGTAACGTACACACGGATGAGAGAAGAGAGACGTCGCTGTACGGCGCACGGGAGGACGATGCTCTGCTCAGACGGAGTCATGCCAACATACGACAACATACAATTCATCAAACGCAGCCAATCACACGGCCCGTGGTGTTTTACGATGAAATCCTCAGACGTTTTACATGGGGAGGCAGAACGTCGGCACAGCAATCACAGCGTAGCGCTGTGGAACGTAATTAGTTAAAATAGAATTAGTTGCTCACTCCGGCTATAGCCATGGGAAATGTGCTTCTAAAGTTTCTAATTATCTGGCTCTGGCTCGCGCTAAAGCAGCACCACCGCCGAGCCTATCTGCAGCCGGTGAAATCTAGCTCACAGTAATGAGTTTGGAGGAGGAGGTTTAATTCCACACTCTCTTACGAGCATAATGAGCCTCACCTACAGAAAAGCGGTCCCCGCTCTGATGGGGGGGAGGGGCGGGGGAGAGGAAGAGGGGAGGGCTAAAAATAAAAACAAATCAATGCTCCATGTGTGTGTGTTTGTGTACAGCACAATATACTGTGCATCAGCAGAAACAATTATCCTGATGTAATTACAATGGATACGATTGTCACCTTATTAGAGACGGAGAGGACGAACCAGTCACCGTGGCCTTTTTTTTTTTTTTTTTTTTTTTGTCCTCCCCGAACTGTCCCAGGATCAGCTGCGGAGAATAATCTCACCATCACCAGGGAATTGTGGGTTTTGTTGTGGATGTAGCGCTCAACAATCCCCCGTGATGCATCGTGCTTCAGGGCTGTGACCTCAGCTTGTCACAGCCTAGCATGCTGGGTGGTTGCCAGGCAACGTGACGTCAACAAAGATGTGCATGTGCGTCTATCTCTGTGATTTCCCCGGAACTGTGTGTGTGTGTGTGTGTGTGTTTGTGTGTGTGTGTGTATAGGGGGTTTTAGCAGAGGAACAAAAGGTCCTCTCTGACTGCCTTCATTATTATGATTAAATCCTGCTAAAGTTAAGCCTCGCTCACGCAGCCGCGTACACAGAATACAGTTTGCCGCCGCGCCACCGCGCCGCCGTTCTGCCCTTTTACACGAGTCTGACTGTAAACAGCTTCAGAAATTAGTTTCTGTGGCAGCTTTCATACGTGCGGTGGATGAAGGCACAACGACAACGACAACTGTTTTCACACTGATTACAGCTGCACTGCTGTAATTGCATCTGCGTGTTACGCATGTTTTAGAAGTCATTTCTACCAAAGACAGAGAGAGAGGTCGAGAGAGGTAGAGAGAGAGAGAGAGAGAGAGAGAAATAAACAGCCTCCTTTGAAGGTGCATGAATTATCAACGCTAACAGTTAAAGGCTGTGAAGACGATAAGCTAAAGAGGTGACGAGCGCTATGTTATCGAACCAGCTAGCGCGGCTGCGACGTGACTAAGGGTGACATCATTAATGCTTATTAACGTTGTAGTCACTCAAGTCACGACTCATACCAGTTCTACTGGTCGTGTACCAGTGACGATTACAATTATCCAGGTGTAAGACTGTAAAAAAAAGTTCAGGGTTCAAAGCAGTTTTCAGGCCACAAGGTGGAACAGTGGTTATTGCTCTGGATGTACAGCAAAAAGGTCAGTGGTTCACACCCCTGTCAGTCTGTCTGGTCGGGTGTAAGAAAATATTGATACACTCAAGTGTTGCGATATTTCGTTTCACAATACGATATTGATATTCTGATACAGCACTGTATGGATTTTTTTTTTCTTTTTTTCACCATTTCCCAGTCCAATATTC